CTACAAATTGTAATCAAATTGTCTTTCATCTCGAAACAACCGAGAGAAGTCTTTAGGTGGTCTAGCGGAGCTAACTACTGCTGCACGGTGTCCCTTTCTGTGTCAGAAGAAAGGCACCCCGTGAAACTTGGTCTCTCCTTTAATTCATATCACCAAGCAAACAAGGGCTCCTTTTCTGGCTGAGTGAAATAGGGTCTATGACGAAACCACGTATTTTTTAGTTTTCATTTCATTTTCACCTAAAGAGAAGATGCATTTTTTTGTTTGCAGGTCGCAGATGAATTTATCAAGAGGCGAGCAGACAGTGAATGGTAAAATATGTTTGCACATACTAGATTGGCGTAAGAGGCATTTGTTTTGAGTTATTTTTTTGACTAGTCAGCTATGTGCTTTTTCTTTCAAAAGTTCATTAAATGGCAGTTTTGAAAATTTGAGACCATTGTACCACTCTTTCCTCATTTGAAATTTTCATAAATTTTCTGTCTATTGCCCAATTTTTAGCTCTATTTTTTTATTTTTTTTATCTTCACATTGGTTTTGCTCACTTGGTTCACTCTGTTACTGTTCAAGTCTGAATAGATTATAACATTAGGCACATATTAAAATTTAAAATGCACTGGAAAGTCATATGGCATGTTTGAGCCACATTATTTGTATAGAATGCATTTTAAAATAGTGGATTGATGAGAACGTGTGGTTAAAAATGAAGGAAATTTTTTTTGGGTTTTATGTAATATTATTTTATTTAAAAATGTGTGGGTGAAAAGAAGAGAGAGAAAAATATAATTTGGAAAAAATGAGGATCAAACAAGATCATAGTAAATTCTACCTTGTGTATTTTCTATCTCCAAATCATTACATCCTATCTCAATCTGGGGCCCATTTTATTACTTTTCAGGTTTGTTGAAGGTGATTTTGATACTTATGTTACACAGATGAGACGACCCCAAGTCTGGGGAGGGGAACCTGAGCTGCTCATGTCGTCACACGTTCTACAGTAGGTTTTTCTTTTCCATTAAAGGTTTGATCTGAACGAACCTGTATTGCTGCAAATTATTGATCTTGACTAATAGTTTAATGAAGACTAACATCTAAGTTAGTGAGTAATCTGATATGTAGGAAGGAGTTATATACCTGTTCAATCGGTTTCAAAGCTTTTAGAATTGGAGACACTTTTATGCTTTAACTGCCACATTAATTGTTTGATCAAATATAAGATGGGATTCCCTATTCACCCTATCGCTCGTGCTTCTTTTTTACACTCTCGGGTGTAACCAACATGGCCACTAACTTTGGCCTTTCACTGGAATCTCATGACTATGAACTCAGTGTAAACTTAGCTTAAACAGAGTTATTTTCCCATCATCTAGTTAGTCGGAACACTGCATTAGTTGATTAATAACTCAGAATAAGATGAAAGTTGGTAGAAATACTAATCTAAGAAAGTTAATTGACCTCGGAATTTTCAGGGTACCTATAACAGTTCACATGTTGGATAAGAAGAGTAATTGCCTCAAAGTTATAGCTGAATATGGGCAAGAATATGGTAAGGAAAGTCCAATTCGCGTGCTGTATCATGGTTATGGTCACTATGATGCATTACAGAGCCCTTTTGGTGGTCCAAAGTCAAAACTGTAAACACTCTAGCCTTCCTTTTACTCTTTTCCTTTTTATGAAAACTGCATTTATGGAAAATATATGCAGTATTCAAATCTAGCTGCTAATGATAATTTTTGTATCCTTGGTTGATTATATCATTCATTGATTAATAATTTTATAATGGTCACCATATGCGTGATTATCCCCTTGTTATCTGAACTATGATTTCTAGCATGAAGCTTGTCTGGAATGTATTAGTGTCGAGAAATGATGCCGAAATGTTGATTGAAATGCCTAATGGTTCGTTTTCATTTATGACATCAAAAACTTAACTGCATAATACATTATACATGCATTTCATGATTAAGCTGATAAGAACCTGATTTGAATCTGTGAGATGACTGTAAAAATTGAAAGGAAATTACGTTGAACAGCAAAAACAAAATTACAGCAAATGGCCAGCTTTTGAGAGGCTGCCTCTCTCCCCAATTTTACCCTCAATTTCTGCCTAAATGAAAATAGAACTCCATCCCCCTATTAATATTGAGCTGGTGCCATGCGTATTTTGCGATCTACCCAAAATACCAACCTAGCAATTAAACTATGACAAGAACTTGTGGGTTCCTAACATAAGCTTAGTTTGATTGTTATCAATGATATCATATTGGAGTTCCACTAGTAACCTGAAAAGAGTTTAAATTATTAGTTTTATTTCACTGGTTGGCTTATTTCATGCTACATTGAGTGTATTATGATGACGTTTATCTCTCTCACGCTATAGCATGAACCATGTGATAGAGAAAACGTATGGGCCTGCTCCACTAGTATAGTATGGTTCCTGTTTCATAAATAGCATGATCATGGTTGGTGAAGTTTATTAGTCCAAGTTTATTGAACTAACTGGATGTGGGAGTTGCAACCAACCAGATTGAGACTTTGAAAGTGCCCGCTAATACAACTCAAGAGGAATAGCAGTGGCATTCATGTTTGTTTTTGAAGTAGTCCAAGTTGTCTTTTTTTTTACAGCCTCAAACTACGCAATTTCCTAATTGATTTGGAGTGAGCTATAGAGCCGTTAAGGTTGCCTGTTGGGTGTGTTTGTTTCTGGATAAGTCCATGTCTTGTTATTTTTTCAACGACTGCACAACTTCCTAATAAGTTTATAGTGACCTACATGAATCCGTCACTCCACTTCAATACATCACTAGATCAATGTAAATATCTAACGCACCAAAACATATGCAATCATATTAGACAGACATTTTTTTTGATTTACCTCCCCTACTTGCGTTATATATTCCTTGACATCCACTGAATTTCTCATGTTACTTTTCTCACAAAATGTCAAATTGACGAGTACAACATGAAGTTTTGCGTTCTGTTTAGTTCACTTTCTGTTCTGAATGTGGCTCCTATTATTCTACATCTACGATGTGGCCTTCTAAGTCGAACCTTAGCTTGAAACTATAAAAGAACTCGTATGCTTTAATATAGTCCGCTTTCCAAGATTCAATATATGTATATGAAATTTGTCTATGTTTTAATGCAAGGAACAATGCATCGGCTGACTTCATTAATTTCTTTGTTTTTGCAGGAACAAGAAAAGGTGAAAGGAATTAACATAACACAGTTATTTAAATACCTAAATGATCTTTCAATTAAAATTTCTTCAGGCTAGTGAAACTTTCATTGTTTTGGCTCTCCCCAGCACCTGGCTATTCTCCCTTCAAAGAAGAGAATGAAGATTTGCAAAAAGGAAAGGAGATTGCTTTCTAGTTCCTTGAAATCTAAAACTTATCATGTTCTCAAATTGTTTTATTGTAGCCTGAACCAGTAGATTTCTGCTGTTGTGGTTGGTGTCGCAGAGTCGGGGATTTAAATTTCTTATGAGTACCGTCGTATAATTGATTTCTTACAAAATATAGATTTGGATAAAGTGAATGTAACATATTAATGCTAATTGTATCCTTGGAAAGACGCAGGCAACTTCTCTACTTTGTTATTTGTTGATTAGCCATTAGAACACATTTGATAATATTTAGAAATTCCACCATAGAGAACGCGTTAGAATGCATGTTCATTGCTTGCTAGGGGTAGGGAGATGATCGTAGATACTCTGACTTTCAAGTCAAATTTGGAAGTTCATGTGGAAGTACAAAATAGACACAACATTAACTTCGTTTAAAATATCATGTAGCTTAAAGTGAAAACGATCCACGTATATATAAGAAAGAATAGTGTTAGGTAACAGTTAAATAATTTGTTTTGTCGTTGTCAAGTGTTGAGTCTTTTATCATCTTTCAATTAATTTGTGTTCTTGGATTTTACTATGGAATCACTTGTGTGACTCCGCGCAATAGTGTGGTCGGCTAGGCATATGGATTCCAATCGGCTAGAAAGCTTCAAGGAGTGCCAATTGCTTGGGCAATTGTTGTGTGCCTCATGAGAAATAGAATAATGCTATATATCTTCAATGGGTTATAACTTCGGTCTAGATGCGCACTAAATGATATGTTAAATGAAATATAAAATTAAATGACTTATTTAGCCCCCGTTTGGCATCCGTTTTATTCCCATTTTTTGAATAGTAATTTGCCTTTTGTGTGGGCTCCATGTACATTTCCCTGATAATTTCATCTGACAACAGCAGGTAAAAAATGCCAGATTTGACCCGTTTGCAGTATAAATTATCTTGCATTCCACAAATGCCCTTCAAATTGGTTCCTGTAACAAACGTGTACACAATTTGAAATGAGGACAAAAAGGAGAAAAAGTGAGGCAGTGGTAATATTTTATTACATGGGCAGTCTGACACAAAATAATTAGGTTGGTTGCGTGTCCAATTGTTTCCCTGTTGCAAAATGAGTTTTGGCTAAAAATGAGAAAAAAATGAGATTCAAACAGGGGCTTAATTTCATTTATCATTTAATGTTACGTTAATACTACCTAAACTAAGATTGTAATTCCAGTAAGATTGAATAGCATTAGTATATGAAATAGCGATATGATACACAAAATAAGTTTTCATGGTAAAATAAAGTAATTTTAAAACATAGTGACTTATAAGTAAATTTAACCTAATTCTCAACTTGGCCAACCAATCCAACAGATGAATCCACGCTATATATGTGAACAAATGAAAAAGATGTTTTTTAGTGAGCACACAGAACATGTTTCCCGCCATCAGCTTGAACAAACACGTGCTCTCAATCCTCGACAAATGCAACAACCTTAATCACCTCAAACAACTTCAAGCTCATCTCATCGCTCTCGGCCATGGCCAAACCCATTTCTACTCGTTCAAATTGCTCCGTTTTTGCACAGTAAATCTCTCTTATCTCTCATATGCGCGGTACATTTTCGACCACTTCAATTCACCTAATATTTATCTTTACACAGCGATGATTACTGCATATACTGCACTATGCGATCATACTTCATCTGTGTTGTTTTATCGCAAAATGGTGAGAAGAAATTATTCGAAGCCTAATGAATTCATATTCCCTATAGTTTTGAAGTCTTGCCCGGAAGTCGTTAAGCCTTATGGGACTCAAATGGTGCACACCCAGATTGTTAAATTGGGTTTTTGGAAATACACGGTTGTGCAAACGGCGCTTTTGAATGCATATTCAAGATACAGTGCTGATATAGTTCTCGCGAGAAAAATGTTTGATGAAATGTCTGAGAGGAATGTTGTGTCATGGACTGCGATGATTTCAGGGTATACGAGAGTTGGGAAAGTGGGGCATGCAGTTGTTCTTTTTGAAGAAATGCCTGAGAGTATTAGAGATACTCCGTTTTGGAATTCTATTATTGCAGGGTGTATGCAGAATGGGTTATTTTCGGAGGCCATTGAGTTTTTTAGAAGAATGATTTTTGAGGAGGGGATAGGGGGATGGAATAGGCCTAATCAGGTGACAGTGGTTTGTACGCTTTCTGCTTGTGGGCATTGTGGGATGCTGCAGCTTGGCAAAAGCATTCATGCATATATTTATAGGTATGCACTTGGTTTGGATTTGTTTCTTGCAAATTCTTTGATTGATATGTATGGGAAATGTGGGAGCTTGAAAATAGCGAGAATGGTTTTTGATCAGACTAAAAAGGCGAATTTGACTTCTTGGAACTCTATGATAAATTGTTTTGCGCTGCACGGTCAGAGTGAGGGAGCTATTGGTGCTTTTGAGGAAATGCTGCTTCACGGGGATGAAGTGAAGCCAGATGGAGTGACTTTTATTGGGTTGTTAAATGCTTGTACCCATGGAGGGTTAGTCGAGCAAGGCCGTCATTATTATGAAACGATGATTAGGGAGTACGGGATTGAGCCTCAGATTGAGCATTATGGGTGCATGGTAGATCTTCTAGGTCGAGCTGGTCAATTTGAAGAAGCTATGGAAGTTGTGAGTGGGATGAGGATTCCGCCTGATGAGGTTGTATGGGGTTCTTTGCTTAATGGGTGTAGGATTCACCGGTGCACGGACCTTGCTGAACTTGCAGTAAAAAAATTGATCGAGATCAATCCTAATAATGGAGGTTATCATGCAATGTTGGCTAATTTGTATGGGGAGTTGGGGAAGTGGGATGAAGTGTGGAAGGTGAGGAAATCATTGAACGAGCAGAATGCTTATAAGACTCCTGGTTGCAGTTGGATTGAGGTTGATAACCAAGTTCATAAATTTTACTCTGTCGACAAATCACATCCCAGGACAGAGGAAATTTACGCAATCTTAGAATGTTTCATCTAATCACAATAGGTAGCTTTTTGAGTTGGGTATTTTCCTTGTACCATTATCAGAAACTGCATATTTCGACTCACTTAAGCGATGTGATTGATGAGCCAGGCTTTCTATTGAGCTCACAAGCAAGACTCTTCCCTATTTGGTGTTTTGGTGATGATACCGCAGAAGTTCGCTATACAGCATACATTTAGAATTTGGTTGAGGGCGTTTTACGGTGCTAAAATATGCAAGATGTAGCAAAGGCCTTTTTTTCCCTATTTTCCCTAAAAATGAATGTTGACACGGTAATGCTGGCGGCAGGTGATGGCTATGGGGTTGTTGGAGTTGCTTGAGACCATGACAGTATAGTTATAGCAAGCATTTCAAAGTTTTTTCATGGCTGTATATCACTATATCTGGCTGAATGTTATGCTATCTTAGAAGGCCTGCAGTTTGCGCACATGAGTTGATGATCTGCATTGAGTCAGATTATCTAAATGCTGTGTCAACAGTAAATAATACTCCTCCCCATGAGGCTGCTTTGATTGCTAATATATCTGAATTTATTTTCATCTTTTACAAAAGAATTTGCTCAGAAATTGAGAACCTCACACTACGAGAATCCTATATCGATAGCTTCCTGTATGCTGATGATTTTACAAGTATGGTCAAAAGCGCAGACAACACAAGTTGCCCTGGGTGAAGCCAGGGGCCAATAGCATCTTGTGTTGAGTTTTGCTACTAAACATGGACATAAAAGTGGCTCGAACTGTGACATGAAAAGGAGCATGAAGATTGGTATGAAACAGTGCACATCATCAATCCTACAAGCTAAACGTGCCAGTTAAATCTTAGCGCTCGTTTGCCCCCATTATTCCACATTATAATGAGAGAAATAGTAATTTTTTGGAAGGAAAATTTTTGGATTTACGTGTAATATTATTTTATTGGAGAATGTGTGGTTGATAAGAAGATGGAGAAAAATAAACTACATTTTAATGAAGAATAATGACGGCCAAACGAGGGCTTATTTCTGGTCTACAGCTAGCTCGGCTTGTTTTACCGCTATCAAGCATCAGAGAATTCACAATCTTCTGTGGACTTTTGCTAGTAAACATGGAAAATGAAGAGGCAATAAGCCCATGTTTGGTACACATTAAAATTTTCATTCTCATTCTACTCATTTTCAACACATTTTTCAATAAAATAATATTTTCAATCACATCAATAACTTTTCCTTCCTTTTCAACCACAAATTTTCAATCAATCTACTATTCCAGAATATATTCTTCCAAAATAATGTGGCTAAAACACACCCTAAATGTGACGTGAAGTTGAGTTTGAATATTGACATAATGCATGTCTGCCAATCTTGCATGCCAAATATGTATGAGAGAAAATAGAATAATGCTGCTCTACCAAAAGTTCTCACATGAGGTGGATCCCACCTCATTAAAATCCCCCCCCCCCCCTCCAAATGTTAAACACCCACCCCCCATCTCACATTTGCACCGCTAGGCCTTTTACAGGCCTAGGAGTGCAGCTCGGTTCTTGTAATTTATGCCATGTTATACCATCTAATCCTACTATTAAAAAGCAATATACTAATATATATTATACAGGGACTAAATAGTAATAAAGCAAAGACATATGAATACTTCTTCGTCCTCTCTCTCCCTTGTCTGACCCATATAATCGTCAATGGAATAAACCATTTGTACAGGGAAATTGTTGATTGAAATTTTACTAACTCTCACACG